CTGACCTACCCTTTTACCAATATTTTTGACTCCGTTCCAAATTCCTCTTCCGACAGATTTTATTCCATTCCATATACCTCTTCCAACATTTCGAAAGAAGTTTCCTATCTTACTGAAGAAACCCATTTTACTATATGTAAAAATCTAATGTCCGCCTAGTCTCTTACGTTTCCTGTTGAGTTCCATAGCATTCTTTAACTGGAGCTCATACATTCTGTTTCTCCTCTGGTAGAAAACATATTCTGGGTCAACTCCTGTGTTCGCGTCATCTGCATAAAGTTGTTTATATCCCACTTCAGGGTTTGTATAAAACTCTTTCCATCTCATATTTGCATACCATGGTGGCAAACCTAACGCAGCGTCATTTGACATGGCAGTTTGCATTTGTACATCTGTTGGCACTTGACCATAGTTTGCCATTGCAGTTTGTATTCTAACTTCATTTGGAATATTCTCTGGGTTTGGTTGTCCAGGTTGCTGTGCATTCGCTAAGTTCTGTGCGTCCATTTAATATTAGATAAAAATATCTCTTACGAGTACATATACTGAACATTTGCAGGCATTGGTTCATCTTCATATTCTCTGTACTTTTCTGCCACGTCAAATAAATAAATGACACAATGGAAAAAACCTAAAACAAGTAGTCCTATTTCAAACCACATTTACTTACTAATAAAATTTCTTTGTTATGACACTTTCTCCAGTTTATAGGACCTCTCTCATATTCTATCTTGTCATATATAAACTCATAGTCATGTATGTCCTCTAACCATCTCATAACGGTTTCCAAACCACTTTTATCGGATGTAAAGTAAAAGCATGGATGGTTATGTAAAACGTCTAAAGTTTCTAAAGAGTCTCTCAAAGTCCAGTCTACTTGGTATTGAAAATCCCATGTGTTATAGAACGGCGGGTCCACTATAAAGAAAACATTTTCCTTGTCTTTATATTTTTCATACAACTCTGTCCAATGACATCTCACAAACTCTATACCCTCAATATATTTTCTATGTCCTCTTTGAAAACATTTGTATAGTTAAGATATAAAACTTTTGACATAAGTGTTTCAATGTCATGAACTCTTATAGCACCACTATATAATAGTCTAGCAGATATACTATTCCAGTCTATATATTCTGCTTTTTTCAAAACCTCTCTCACAATATTTTTCTTATCTAATGGTATACGTTCCATCTTACCTATAGGTATCTTTTCTTTTAACGCTTTCAATATATTGTTTGTGTCTGGAATATGTTTGAGACGGTCCATATAGTTGTCGAAGTCATTGCATATAATCTTTGAGTCTGGAAATATTATATGGCACAAATGGGATATATAGAAACTTCCACCGAACAAATCTACAAATGTTAGACCATTCGGTAGTTTCTTAAGTTCTCTCAATATAATATCTTTACATCTACTCTTATTTCCAAAGAACGGTAACGGAGGTTTTGTAAAATTCATTTATATATAATAATAAAAATGTTTTTTCCTGAAAAGTGACAGAAAAGTGACAAAACATGAAAACATATATAATTTGTGAAAAGCGACACATTATATAATGTTTTCGACCCAGAAGAAGGCTTCTTCCCAGAAGCAATGGAGGAAGAAGAAGAGTCCTCCGAATTCACACCAGAAGACTAACAATTTTCCGAATAAAAACTTCATTTATACTAAACATCTTCGGGGCTAGAGGGCACGAAGTGCCTGGAAGCCCCACTACCTTTTTTTTTTTTTTTTTTTTTTTTTTTTTTTTTTTTCAAATACCTTTCGTTTTGAGAGTTGTAGGATGTGGAATCAAAATCATAGGAAAATAGCTAAATTTATATTTTTTACCGCACGCTTTCCATAAATTGAGAGACTTTTACCTCATTTTTACCGCAGATTGAGGGGTTTAGCCGCAAATTGAGTACTTTATCCATAAATTGAATAGTGGTATGACCGCATTTTTTACCGCAACTCACTTTGCATATAAAATATCAATAAAATTATACACCAATACGATATTTGCATCTTTGAAGTAAATACATTATTTGAATTGCGGTAAACGATAGACTAAAAGAATTTTTAAAATAAAGTTAAATAATGCTTACTTATATAAATACAGTAAAATTTATAAATTTTGTTTTTTTCAAAAAATATAAAATTCATACGTTAATTTTTTAATTCGCTTGGCGAATGCCGAGCTTACGTACTCACTTATTCCTTCTCGTTATTACTTCAACCCCAGGAACCTCATCTTTCATATATGACAGCTGTGGGAATCCAGAACTTCTTGATCATCGAATCATATACTAAAGCTACATAATTCTACAGGCGAACTAAAGCAAGCATATGCATTGGGAGTGCTTTGCAATGATCTCCCTCATCAATCGATGAGAGATATCATTGTGGAGCATCCCCAAACGAACTACAAGCTGACATTACAACGCATACAACCCGATTAATACGAATATATACATTGGAGCTGCTTTGTAATGATCTCCCTCATCAATTGATGAGAGATCTCATTGTGAAGCAGTTCCAATCGAACTAAAAACCGGCATACAAATGAGTGAAAGCAAACTCATTAGAGATGCGTTGCTTTGATTTCTCTCATCAGAAGATGAGAGATCCCAGAACAAAACAGCTCTAATCGAACTTTCTACACAGCTTAGCATAGTATTAATGCAAAGTAATGCATCTGTATTGTCAACAAGCAAAGCTGTTTCGAGTCCTTCCATTATTTCGAAGAATTCGGAACAACTTTGCTAATTGATAGTGTAAATCCATATGCATGAAAGCGCACATGCATAAAGACAGGTATTGTCAGCAATGACTACCTGTCCAGCATTGATTGATCAGCCAAGAACCATTTCAGGCTTTTTGAGAACGTTTCAGCCAGGATCATCGTATACTGACTGTTAGAAAGGCATCCATTATCTGATATAGATGCTTTTCCAACAATCATATTCGAAGATCTTCGACATTGATGTAAAAAGAGAAGGAGAAGGAGAAGGAAAGAAGGAAAAGGAGAGGAAGAGAGAAAGGAAAAGAAGAAGAAAAAGAAAAAAAGAAGGACATATTAAATATAATGCGCACTCAATAGTGCCGAGGCGCGATTTTTTGACCCTATTTTACCGCACGGTAATGTTTTTCTCGATTTTGTCCAGGCCTACAATTAACTATATGGGAGCTATTGCTAGCCATTGATAACTGCCGAGAAATTATGATGCGTTTAAATCTTTACACGAGAAAAAATTGAATTGTTCTGTAACCGTCGTCTCATCAAAAATTCAAAAACTCTGTTTATTAATTAAAAAGGAGATTTATCGTCAACTATAATTTTATGCATCAATTATTGCTCTACAATATTTAGATAGAAAATTAAGAAAATTGACATTTACTGATTATGATTCATGACGCGTTTAAATAAGGGTTTCGTTTTGCTAAAATTGTCACTTTTATAGCATATTTGTTTTTGGATGTTTTGCGAAACCAAAAAAAAACTATGATATACAATGTGTGTGTAAAGAAAATACTTTATTTACTAGTTAAAAAATCATTTGGTATTGATCAAGAGTAGTAGGATATGAAGGGTTGTGTGACTTTTTTTGTAAACGTAAGAATTCATGCAATATCGAGCGATTTTGTATCATTTTTTTTAACATATGAAGTAAAAAATGTATGATTCTGACGGTTTTTATTCTTACGTTTTTGAATAAATCAAGATTTAAAAAATTTTCAAAATGTAAGACATTTACACTCAACCCATACATAATGAAATAAACTTTAAAAAATTTTTTTAAAAAATAAACTTTAAAAATTCATGTCTTACATTTTAAAATAATTTATTTTTATTTTGTATGAAATGAGCGTCAAAACTAACAACGTTAAAAAATTAGGATTCACAAACGAGGAAATAAAGGATATATTAGATGAGATGTGTTATGAAGTTAGTAAATATTATTTAAGAAATTGTCAAAAATTTGCCGAGTTATTAAATGATTTAGATTATGATGGAAAAATGAATAAAGATGATGTTATAAATTTCTTATATCCCACATCTGAAGAAGAAAAACCTAAAGAACCTGATGTTTTCCCTGAATATTATGAAGAACGGATTAAAGATGATGAATACGATGAAATTGAAATTGAAAGACTGGAAAAAATAAGAGATGAAATAGATGAAAAAATTAAGGAATTAAGAGAAGTTGAAAATGAAGTAGAGGGTTTAATAAATATCCCAGCTTCAGAATCAGAAGTTCAGAAATCTCATGAAGAAAGATATAAAAATTATGTCTCAGAATCAACACAAAATTTATTAGATGGCGAAATAGATGAAACACTTTCAGAAGAAGGTACTAAATTTATACGTAAACATAAGTTACAATTTATTGATAATGAAAAATACCCTTGTATCTTACTTTCACCCCCTCTCGATTCTGAGAAATTCAAAAAAGCTCTTAAAAACGTGACATATGCAACTAATACGATTAAGAAAGAAGATCATGATATTTACACAAATTATTATTTAAATAAATGCACAGGTGTTGATAAAGTTTTTGATTTATTAGATAAAATATCAAAAGAAACCATTGGAACATATAAAATTTTGTGTGATTGTGGTTTCATTGTTGAAGATACTAATAATGTTTCATATGAAAGAACAGCACCGAAGGAAGACGAAGTTGAAAGGTCTATACCATTCGTTATTAAGAATATAAAAGATATGAAAACGTATAAGCATTATATTTATTCATTTATTTCAGAAAAAATGGAAGCAACCCATAAAACATCTTCTCATCATTTTATAGCTATTCATACATTCCTTTTCAAAGTTGTGAAATTAAATAAGACAGGAATTAGATTTAATGTATCAGGGTACGCATTCTTGAGTAAATTAAAATGTATTCGTCACGTCGCAGATGATAAAAATTTATGTGTTCTTAATTCATTTTATGGGCTTTAAAAAATAAACTTTATTTTTATTTATTTTTTAATTTTTTATTCTTACATAAATGAACAAAAACGGAACCGCTAAAATGAATGATAATCAAATTAGAGCAGAAGGTAGAAGGTTATTTAAACGCTTCTATAACATTCCTGATGGTGTTAATCCTAAAACTCGTAGAAGTTATTTAAATGAAGCAATAGATTCATATGAAGGGTTTGACATTTCATCAGAAAGTGAGAGATTAGCGAGAATGTTAAATGTTAATATTGATTTCTATTATTGTGATCCTCAACCAGAAGACGTGGACATAAATAAGGTAGACTTTCCATTAGTGGATTCAATAATGATAGATCCAGAATTTGAAACAGTAAATATTTTATTAACACAGAGTCCATGTGGAAAACTTCACGCTGACAGAATAACAGACGTTGAAGCACTCACCGGCTATAGAGTTTGTCCATATTGTAAAGAAGAAGTTTATTCTATCCGTGATGATCCAGAAAGGAAAAACCAAAGAAGATTTTTAAAGCATTGTGAGAAATGTAAAGAAAATAATGGAAGATTAATTCAAGACGTTCAGTTGCAAAAGACACAGCAACCATATGCACCACATATTACGAAACAGAAGATATATCAGTGGTTATTAGCTCATAATTTGCAGGAATATTATCAACCGACAAGATATTATATTACTTTTGACTTCGAAACATTAGAGACTAAAGAAGAATTACAACTTTCTGAGTGTGCAACTTTGAACGCTTACTTAAAACCATTCATGGTATCATCAACGGTTAAATTAAACGATAAAACATATACGAGGAATTTTTGCTTAACTTCGAGTGATTCTTTTATTTCTGATTGGATTGAGTTTTTATTTTCAACCTGTTCATTAGTTGCTAAATCAAATATTGAACAATATGAAGAATTAATGAAGTCGCAAACGGACTCTTTGAGTCCTGAAGGTCTTTCAGACCAAACGGCGGGGACTTTGTCTCATACATTAAATGAAAAACAGAAGGAAGCATTTAAAGAACTTCTAGATGAGGAATTCAATAAAGTGAATATCATAGGTTTTAATTCGGGAAAGTTTGATTTAAATTTAATTCTTCGTGATTTAAACACTGCAAAATGGAAAATAAAATCAATGCTGGGTTCTTCTTCTCAATTTAAGCAAATCATTGTAAAGAAAACAAACGTTCCATATGAATTGAGATTTATTGACATCAGAAATTATATAGCGGGTGGGACATTAGACCAATTCACTCAAGATTTCGGAAACAATAAATCACGTGTTAAATCCTTTTTCCCTTATCAATTCATCACATGGGAGAATTACGAAGAAGAATTATATAAAGAGGAACCATTCACTCAAGATTCATTTTATTCAGCATTAACCCAAGAAACTATATCAAATAGTGATTATCAAATATATCTCAATGATGCTAAAAATTTTAAGAATAGATTAGAATATTTTATTCATTATTGCAATAAAGATGTTGAAATTATGATTGACCCAATTGATAAAATTATTGAAGAAACATTTGTTTATAAAATTGACATGCTTCATAATCTTTCTTTATCATCGAATGCTTCAATGATTCGTTACGCTTTAGCATATAAAGACTTTAATCCTAATGAAAAATATCCTGAGGAAGAGATAGAATCAAGTTTTGAATTAACGAAAAAGTAGTGGAAATATAAAATTGGATCATATAAGAAACAAGATGAAAAAGCAGAAAGGGATACTAAAAATAATGTTTCAATGGATGATTTTCAATACTATCACGATTTAATCCTTTCATCTAAATGCAAAATGTGTGGTAAAGCGTTTAAATATGCAAATAAACCAACATTAGATAGAATCGATAATGAAAAACCACATACCAAAGAAAATTGTCAGTTAATGTGTTGTTATTGCAATGTCGTAAAATCAAATAAAGATGAAGATGTTCAACGTTTAAGAATCAATTTAAGAAATTATGCATTAAAAAATAATTTACCAATGACTTTAGATTCAGTTGAAGCTTATCACATTCTCCGTAATGGAATTACTGGTGGTTTATCAAATGTTCAACATAGAGTAAATCTTAAAGGAATCACGCACATTAATAAACTTTCATATAATCCAGAAACTAAAACTGTATCAAATGAGGACACCACCAACATTATGACTCATTTCGTTGGTGTTGACTTTAATTCATTATATCCTTCATCATTTTCATCTAATCCTCATGATTTCATTCAATATACTGACCATAAAATGTATATGCCGGGAAGATTGAATGGTGTTATCATTTGTGATACAGCAACAAAGAAAGCAAAAGCATTGGGAATAATTAAGAAGAAAAATACTTTATTCGTGGCTGAAGTAAAGGGTCACATTGATGAAAAATACATTAATGATTACATAAACTTTTTACCGATAATAAGAAACTTAGATATTATCACAGATGAAAAAACAATTGGCAGTTTTATGTATAATTACATGAAATCAAACAATCTACCAGTTGACCAGAAACAGAGAAAATTAACTCAATTAGCATCAACACACAACCAATATCAACCATTTTCTTCTTATTATCTTTGGTATCTAATAGACAGATTTCATTTTATCATCGATGATATTCAATCAATTTCAACATTTACGAAAAACACTTGCTTTAATGAATTTGCGAACAAATTTATGAACGAAAGACAAAAGGCTGAATTAGAAGGAAATAAAGGAAAAAGTTTATTTTGCAAAATTTCACTTAATGGATCATATGGTTACGATGCAATGAATACACAAAATTACGCAAAGACTAAAATAATGAATGCACAGAAGTCACGCGTTGCATGTATGTCAAATAAGTTTAAAAACATAAGAGAAATAGGTGAAGATACATATCAAGTGATGCTTAAAGATAGATTTTATAGATGTGATACATGTTTACAAGAGGCATTCTTCACTTTAGATAATGCTAAATACTGGTATTTGGTTTTCATTTATGATTTTATGTATAAATGCATGAATCTTAATCGTTTTCATTTCATTGAAGGTGATACTGATTCATCTTATTGGGCAATCGCTGGCGACCCAAATCTTCCTAACACTCAAGCATTTCAAGCAATTGTTACCGATAAACAATTTTATGATAAAAACATTTTCAAATTCGCACCATTTGATTTCTTCTGTTTTGATGAGAAATTTAAACCTAAATTAAAGAATAAAGCTGAAGAAAAAGCACATGAGAAGAAGTTATTGGGTTTAGCAATTGAGAAACAAGGTGATAACATGGTGGCGTTATGTCCTAAATGTTATACATCATTCAACGGTTCAATTGATGGGAGTGATTTTAAAAAGATTGCACAAAAAATGAAGGGTGTTAGTTTAAGACAAAATAAGCAATTAACACCTAAAAAATATTTGGATATAATAAATGATAAAGTGATATTTGATGGTCAGAATATTAATTTACAACTTAAAAACGGGTCAATGACTCGCTTAACAATCGGTAAGACTGCATTAACAGGAGCACACACTAAGGCTGTATGTTGTGAAAATGGATGTTGTATGCCATTTATTTAATACAATTTAAAAACGTAGGGGTTGAGTCATGAATTTAAAATTTTATTTTTAATAAAATGCCACAGAAGAGACAAAAGGAACCGTTAATGATGCAATTCAATATGTAAATAATGGTTTTGATACTATGATTCAAAGAGGTGGGCACCCTTAAAACATTGATTTTATTTTTATATAAATGGATAATGTAGATTTAGAAATTTTAATTGATGATTTAGTATTTAATCAAAATTTTCTTGATTATTACGATTTAAAATCATATCTCCAAAAACATAATAACAATATAACGGGTGATGATATGGAATATTATTATCCATATTATAAAAATGAAATTTTGAAATATCATAATAAAATAATTTCTGAAATTAAAGACAAAATTAAAAATAATGAATATACAAAGGGAAAAACTAAATCACAACTTAAACAGTTGAAAGATTTCAAAAATAAAGTATTAACAGAAGAAGATATTGATGAATTATATAAATTATATAATCCTGAGCCGCAAAAGCCAAAGCCGAGGTCTAAAGTAGCAAATGTTCAACAGCTAAAGGAACAAAACGCCCAGGTTCTTCAGACCATAAATGATGCACAAGCTTTAATTTATGATTCATTAGTTAAACCATATTCAGCCCGACTTTTAAATGAAGATCAACTTTTGGAATTCATCCTTCAACATAAACTCGAAGCGGGAAAGTATATCAAACCTTTATATACAGCATATTTAAAACAAATGAATAGAATACATCCAGAATTAATGAAGGGGGGAATGAATTCCAAAACTTCATCATCCAAAATCAAAGCAGATAAAATTAAACCACTTGCAACACCAAAACCTCCAACGACAGTACCGCCTCCTCCTTCAGTTAATCCTTCATCATTCACTTTATTATATCCATTTCAAACATTAAAGAAGCAAAAAGATTTTAAAAAGGATTTCAAAATATTAAATAAACCAACTGACCCAAAAATTCAACCGTTAAAGGAAAAATTTAGTCGCCCTTCATTTGCACCATATCCATATTCATACGAAATCGATCATTTAGAATATTCAAAAGGAAACGTTACTTATTTATTTGCCATTAACATTAACACTAGATATTTATATTGCATTCCGGTGAAAGGGAAAACAGAACAGGAAACAAGAAGAGCTATACAATACTTACTAGATCATGAAAGAGTAGATAATATAAGGGGTGATGGTGATAAAGGATTTCAGGCAGCTATGGCTCATTATTTCCCACAAATTAATTTTTACTTCTCATCTTCTCCATATACGTTTCATAATAAAACAGTTGATGCGGTAATGAGAACTCTTAGAGATGCGTTAGGGGTTAACGGTCAGATATACTGGGATGGAAATCATGACTCCATCATACAACAGTTAGTATATTATTACAATAATACATGGCATAGAACTATAAACATGAAATCAGTGGAAATGAAAAATGATATTTCAAAAGAATGGGAATATATTAGAAAGCAAATGGAAAGGTTAAATGATGTTAAACGTGAACAAATTAATTCGGGGCTCATGAATTTTAAACAAGGAGATAAAGTTTTGATTCATCTCGATTATGGAAAAACTGATAAATCAATGACAAAAAGAAGACGAAGATTTGACACAATAGCTGAATTTGTTAGATATATTAACGGCAATGCATTAGTTGAAGTTGACAATAAATTAATAGAAATTCCGATTTATTTTATTACTCCATTATATTTAAATAATATTTAATTTTTTTTAATTCGTAAGAAATGAGTGACAACAAAGCATCCAAGAGTCCTGATTCAATTAAGATTCAGAGTCCAGACGATGAATATAAAAAGAAACTAAACAGAATTAAATCAAAAATATGCTATTACAAAAAGAAGCCGCAATGCGATGGGGCTGATGCCCATAAAACTAATGGAACTGAAAACGATGAAGAGAGGAAAGAAATAATCGAAAAATTAGAAACTTACCGTTCAATCCTTAAACTGAGTGAAGCAAAAATAAAAGAATTTAATAGAATAAATAAATTGATTGGAAGAGATGAATTTAATAAAGATGAATTTTTAAACTCAATCCAAATTTAATTTTTATTCCTCTTCGACAACGTCTCGAATAACTGAAGGTGTCACTATGTCACCATGTCACCAGGTTATTTAACTTCTTTTAAAAAGTGTGACAACATGACATTTTGACAACACAGCGGGACGAAAGGAGGAAGGCATTTATGAATTATTTTTGAATAACTGAAGGTGTCACTATGTCACCATGTCACCAGGTTATTTAACTTCTTTTAAAAAGTGTGACAACATGACATTTTGACAACACAGCGGGACGAAAGGAGGAAGGCATTTATGAATTATTTTTGAATAACTGAAGGTGTCACTATGTCACCATGTCACCAGGTTATTTAACTTCTTTTAAAAAGTGTGACAACATGACATTTTGACAACACAGCGGGATTAATGCAAAAATAAATTCAAATCATACTTTATAAAGCTTCATTTACAGGTATTTCATCGTCAGTAAATGAATCCTCATTATCGTTTGGTTCAACCTGTTTATATAATCCTTTCATTTCTTCTTTCAAAACATAACACCATGTTTGTTTACCATCTATTCTTCTCTGTTTCCTATCACATTTATCCTTAATGCTCATTTGGAAATTCTTGTCTTTCATGTCTGATGGTTTGCAGAATAGAGCATTTTTACACGTCATACCTGCACACAATTCATCATAATGTGTATTTATCCATACATCTAAAGGATTTGTTGATAACTCGATTAAATCTTGTTTGGCTTCAGTCATCGGTATGATTCGTACATTAAATGATGAAAGGTCATATTGCATAAAATACGTCAGTAAATTATCATAAAATTCCTTTGTGCATGAATTCATTAAATTCTTGAAATAATCAAATTGACCCTTAAATTTACCATTAACTCTTAAAACTACGTATCTTCTGTCTCCAACTTCAATTTTGACAGGGTAAACGATATTAGTTACGAAAATGAAGTTTGCAACATTCTGAGCAGTTCTTCTGGGTTGATTCTTTTCATTAATTCTTATCTCATTATCCGTTATAATTGATTTCAAAGCGTTGAAGTTTGCGAGTCTGTCTTCACCAACATTCTTGAGTTCATTAAGTACAAGAAACATTTTATTCTCAACTACTGAGTTGAAATTACCCGTTAGCTCACCTATTTCGGTAATGTTTTTACATGAATAACCAGCGAGAAGTTCAGAAATAATGTCTGTAAATCTGTTTTTACCTGTTCCCTGAAGTCCTTTCAAAATAATTGCTGTTTCATTCTTGATTCCAGGATGTTGAATCATTGATGCAATCCAGCCGAGAAGGTATTTATACACTTCATCGTTATTATCACAAATGGCTTCTTTAATGAAATCCATAAACATCTCAATTTTTGAGTAATCAGGCTTTTCGAGAACGTTGTATTTATAACCTGAAACGTTGAGAAAACATCTGGAGAATCAGATTTAAAGCAAACACCCTTAACGGTTAATGAGGATAATTGATTTAGTAGTACATCCCATGCTGTTATTGTTTTACCTTCTTCTTTAAATAATTTAATCATTTTGAGTGACTCTTTCATGTTTGATTGAAGAACGAATGATATTTGATTCATTTTGTCGTGTATGTTGTAATCTTTCTGAATGAAGTATTTGTTTCCACAATCTACAAAACGGATTACACGTGATAAATCCTCAATTACTTCAGAACTGTTTTTATACTGATGATTTTCAGCCTTGCGTCTAATATCTGTTATCAAAAACGAGTCATCAAGTTTTATATCAAATGTTATTTTTGGCTTACGTAATAAAGGTAAAACATATTCATCATAATATTCTTTTTGATATAGTTTTAGAATCTTCACTAAAACAAATGGAGAAGTCATTAAATGTGCATATCTACTACGTGCTTTTTCAAAATTACTTTTTGCATTTTCTGTTAAGCTGCAGAAGTTATAAACGTTATCGTATGCTTCATTAATCAAATGATCCGGTAACGAATTAATTGCTTGAAACAGTGTGAATAATGTAACTTCTTTTTCTAAATTCATGTTTCCACCGTCATTATGTACTTCAAAATCACTAATACCATCGACTATGCTCTGGGCAAGTTTATCGTCAATGTTTACATCTTTGTTTTCATTCATGATAGTCTTTATTTCTTCGTTCTTCTGTTCAACTCTTACCTTAATATTCAAATCATTTAATATATCGTTTACTGTTCTGGTTATGGTCGAGTCATAACTTCCACGAATGAATGAGTATGTATTGATTGGTTCTGTTGCATTCTTGCGAACTCTTGAATCAGCCATAACTACTAAAGAACGCTTTGAATCATCAATAGAAGTCATGATATCAATATCATAATCATTGCAGGAATAACATTTAATCATTCTGTTCGAAACTGCATAGAAGAAATTAGTGTTGCAATAAATGTGAAGACCTCCTGAAGCGGTTTTAACGATAACATCTTTATCCGAAAGTTTTGATAAAATGTCTTTTCTAACCGTTTCTTTAAGTTCATCATTGTACGATTTATTGATATCAATATCTATAATCGTTAAATTTGAAATTTTATTTACTAATAAAGCCATACCAGTTTTCCTTCCTCTTCCTCCATCGTGTTTGAGATAGTTATGTAAATCAATCTTGTTTTCACCAATTCTTTCGTTGAGGGTTTTAGTTTCTGCCACAACTAATTCCTCAGCTAATGAATCAATAACTTTTTCATCAGAAACGATATAGTTGCTGTTGTTGTTTGTTGCTGTCATTTATATAGGAATAAAAAAATAAAAATAATTTTAAAACTAACTTTATTTTTGGACTGCATCATATTTCCAGGACTGTTGTCAAAATGTCATGTTGTCTCATTTTTTCAGAGAAGTTAATTAACCTGGTGACACATGGTGACGTAGTGACACCTTCAGTTCTTCAAAAATAATTAATTATTGAATAACCTGAAAACATGAGACTTTGTCTCCGGACTCTTTGAGTCACTTAACGATAAAATATATTTTTGGGTCATGGGCTATGCCCCGCCACGTTGCGTCTTTATGACAAAAATAAATGGTTCATTTACTCACAATATTTTTGTACAAAACGACCCCAAGCTTTTAACTTCTTTTCTGCAGCTTCTAATGCTATCTTAGCGAGTTCATATTCTCTAAATTCTCTCTTTAAATTTTGTTTTTTAGAATGGAGAATCTCTATAACCATAACATAACTCACGTTCATGTTCTAATTGTTTTTCGCGCATTTTTCTAACTTCAGTTAGTATGACTATCTTCAGTACTGTGGCACTGCGCGCCATCTTACCGAAGATATGTCAATCTGACACTTTACAAAACCACTAACGTATATTTTACATCACAGATGCAATATTTCTAATAACCTTAAACTATTTCTGCCACGTAAAGTATTTATCACATAAACCACCTCATCTCACCTCTCTGTACGTTATATATTGTGCGCAGGTCATTACCCATGGCAACTCCCCGCGACACAATGCATGTGCATGAAAAAATAAACGTTCTCACTAACGTTCTCACTAACGTACACACTAACGTTCCCACTAATGTTCTCACTTACAAAAGTATTGCAACTCCTCCCATTGCTGTGCTTCACATAACAGCTCATAATCTTCTGACTCACTACTGTCGCTCCAATCGTCTGAGTCAAAGTCGCTGTCATAATTAATGTTTATAAGTTTTGACAAATGTAATGAAACACGTTTACCGTTTGTATCTATTGCTTGTATAAACTTTCCATTATGTTTACTATCATAAATGCTTAAACTAACTTTACCCTTTCTCCCTCGTATCTGATAGAATGTATTCTCACGCGGAA